AGCAGTGCAATGCCTAACTATTGAGGTAAACAAAAGCTAGTACTTCCAGCAGAACCAATCAGAATACAAGTTAAAAAAAAATATTAGGTGTATATTTATTGATGAATCAAGTCAATCAACCAACTGCAGTGCCTCACCAGGTATATAAAATGCGCTCCAAAGATTTCTGAATCTGAGGATCCTGGAAAAATGTAACATCCGGCACAGTTCTTGGGCAATCAACAGCAATCTACAAGACAGTGGGTGAGTAAATATTGATGTATTCTATGAAAAATGGGGAAGACCTGGTGATGCGAATTCAGGCCTGAAACGTTACCTGGCGAAGCATGGTAATCTCTTCATCTGAGCGTTCAGTATCCGGAATATCATAGTATTGAGAAACACATTCTACATACTCAAGTCTTTTTCTCGTTAAAACACCTTCTCTTCTATCCGCATTAGGTGGTGCATATCCCTGTAGCCAACTGATATTAAATTCAATACTGAAACACCACGCTAAAAAGAAGTCACATTATCTCACAATAAACATGTTATATGTCTACTCACCAAAAGAAGCCTCCATATGTTAGGTCGCATATAAGGTGGCACGCCACTCCAAGATAATTCGCGCAATTTATCTACATAATCAAGCAAGAACAGTGGATGACAACTGAATTCTGGACAAGCTATGAAAATTAAACAGCAAAACAATAGTATTGCATAAGTATACAACTACCGTAAAATCCAATCAGAATAAAACCTGAAACTAGAAATATATGGTGCCCTTTAACCAGTACAGGATTAATAAACTGATTTTCTCTAAAAAAATAATGCCACAAGTTCAGTAAGTATAAAATTCAAATTTATTACTGGCTCAGTATTGTTACAACCAATTTTCCATGGTTAAATTTTAAAACTAAGAACATCACCACAAATGAGAAAAATAGCTGTCACTGGAAACAACTCACCACATTTAGATTGTCACTAAAGGTAAAATTTGCATTCTTTTCCATTTGGATTGCAATCAAAATGATCAAATACAAGCTAGATATAAATAATATATTTCCAAACCAAAAAATAACTTCAATGCTGATTTCAAAATTCAAATTCCTGCATGCATAATAACTCATTGAATCAATCCTATGTCGAAAGTGAGCATACCTAATATAACAGCTGGCCTAGAGAGTTCATTTGTGAATTTGGTAATCCTTGCGGAATCTGTTGCTCTAGCCCCGGAAACTAAACCTTGGGCATCTGGTAATGAATTGACGCTACTTGTCGATGGTGAAATTGGTTTCTTAGAACTAATGTTGTCAGTTGTGTTTCCAGATGCTTGCCCTTCTACCTGAACAGGTAGAGTATCATCAGTTATAATCTGGACCGTTCATATGTCGCAAAGCAATGCTGAGAAATGACACCCTACCTCCTGTGAGCCTCCATTTTGTTCATATTCATAGCGATCATTCTCAGAGCGTGGGGAGTATTCAGGAGGTGAAATAGGCTCAGATCTTCGGGTTAGCATAACCTTCCCAGGAAAGCTTCGTCCTTTGAGCATTCTGACAAAGAATTGGGTAAAAATAGCAACAAGCTCTTTCTGTAAGGTTACAAGCAGACAGACTTCGCAATACTAGCAAATAGTAACTGGTATCTCTAACCATGATCATGGAGTCAAATTTAGACAGGAACACTATGTAAGTGGGCAGAAGCCATCGATGTTTAAACTAAAAATGTACTCCAAAAGGATGAAATACTGATATATTCCAATTTAATATATCAAACTCTATATTCCTAACTGTTAAATCATGATACTCCTCTGTGAGGCGTGTAATATTGACTGCACCCACTCAGGGACTGACCCTTGCACGTTGCGGAGTGTCTGGTTGAAGCGCCATTCCGAGTTGTTGGGGCTTCCTCCGCCGCCGCCACCGCCGCTGCTCATCGCCGGGAGTGGCGGTGGAGAGCGGCCGATCAGGAGTTGCTCTTCGCTGGATCTTGCTGCCTAGCCCCCGATTCGGCCCTGCATGCACTCGCTTCTCATTCCCCGAGGTATCCACATCTATACGTGCCGGAGCATCCACGCACCAAGCAGCTTAGGGCCACGTACCTCGAAGCGCAACCAGTGGCGATCGCCGCGTGCCCGGTGCGGCAGCGCAGCAGGAAGTCCGGGGCAGCAGGTCGCCGGCGGGTTCCAGCGCTCGCGGACGCGAGCCCCAAGAACCGTGCGACGGAGCTTCGGGGCCGCGGATCGGTCGGCCACTCCAACCCAACCCTACCCGCAATGCGGATCGCCGAAATCAGTGAACAGCACCGGGCGGGGAGACGGGTAGAGGAGGTCACGCGGATAGCGCAGCGGCGGCGCGGGGAGGCGGCCGGGGAGGAGGCGGCGCGGTATAAGTTTTTTTTTTCTTGGACGGGAATGGGGATCTGAGGAGAGAGGTGGGAGTGGGGATCGCTGGGCGAGGAGACGAGAGGTGGGAGACGACGACGGGTGAGGTGGCACGCCCGCACGAACGGCTGGATGGCACCTGGCCTAATGGACGGGCGGCGTTCTGCCGTGGTGCTGTGTCACTGTAGCGTATCGGAGGTCTCGGTAACAAAGGGATTTGTGGGGAAAAAAACATAGGGCGTGTTTGGTTGCCGTTGTGAACCGTTCTTGCATCGCATACACTTCTCAATCCAGTCTGATTAAGCAAAAACAGTCTCTAATACGTCATCTGTAAGTTGTTTGGTTGACTGCATCTAGTGTTCCTGCATTATGTAATACACAAGTGCACTTTGTTTGGTTGTCTGTACTGGCTCAAGCGGCAGATGAACACGGCGTTTGGTTGTATATGGTGTACATGTTGTGCTTATCTTGTATCCTAGTTGATGAGCTTACCCGCAATGATCACACCTAGCACACCAACGCCACATCACAACAATGATGATGAACTGGGTGAAGATGATGAAGTTCTTCAGCTTCAGCCCAAACTGACGATCCACCTTAGCACCTTTCACTTTGACACCTCCAATCTTGCCACTGTCAAACACTACTGCTTTCGTGCTTTCGCACACAGTCAAAGTAAGCTTGTTCTGCTGCATGCCTATCCTTTATGGTTGTTGTTGCTATAGATGCCACTTGTGCACTGACTTCTACCCATGAACTATAAACCCCTATAGCCTTACCGATGAACACGTCATACCACTTGCCCTAGCAATGCACAAGAGCAAGAGTTGAAGCAGCAAATCAATGAAGCATACAAGTAGCAAGAAAAGTAGCACACAAACAACAAAGAAGCATAAGAGAAGAAGTAAAATGCATGATCATACGGCATAGCAAGTTCAACCTAGCACTACCTTGATGTTAACCTACCACCACATCCAAAAGAGGGTGTCGTCCTACCACCGCAAGTTCACCATCAGCATGATGGGTTAGTATATACCACATCACCAAAATATACAGACCATCAAATTGTTTTTCAGCCCTAGCTACACAAAATGTACGTCATCATCGTCATCATCGTCGTCGTCATCGTCATCGTCGTCGTCATCGCCACCGCCGTCGCCATCGGGGATCATGCACGCTCACAGACAGCACTACTCTAGTAGTAGTGCTTGCCCAGCCAGCTCCTGAGCCACAACACCCTGTGAGCGTCTGCCATAGCAACGAACCCAACACCCTGGGCCTTGTTGTCAAGCAGGTGGCTAAGAGTTGTCATGAGAGCCTCATCGCTGAAACCACCCTGGGTCATGACAGCGTCATATAGGTCAGGGTGGACGTCGAGGGGCTTGCACTCCCTGATGGTTACTGCCACCTCCTTCACCGCCTCAGCCATGCTGCAAAAGACATTGATCTCCTCCTCCATCAAGCCCCCTTTCTTCCTCTTCCTATCATGTACGGGGTCAAATGGCTTGTCGAAGGGCTTCACGAAGGGCTTGTAAGGGCCATCAAGGACGGGGTCCCAGGAAAGTATGGCATGGGAGAACCACGAGGCTCCCTCGAGCCCATGGCATGCTTCCCGGTTGCTAGCCCGAAGGAGAAGATGTGGTGCATCTGGCGGTAGTTCTGTATGGGTGTGTTGAGGAACTCAGCGTCCCTTGGGTGGTCCTAAGAATGAAACACGAGTGTTGTTATTTGCGATTATGAGTAGGTAATGGTGGACAGTATGAAAAGGAAGAGGGCTATGAGCTAACCGCGACATGGCCGGCGTAGTGCTCTGCCTCTAGAACTATGGAGCAAGTGTTCTCATCCCATGAGGCGCCGCTAAGGTCTCTCAGCTTGGACACTTGGATCCATCGACATCTCCACTTCCTCAGGTGGTTGTACACCTGGGTGGCAGACACCTCCTGCCCACAGAACTCGAACACCTGCTTCGCAACAGTGTTCAAGTGCACCTCCTTGAAGCCCTTGTCAGTCCTAACTCCACTAAAGATGAGCTCACACATCTTGTTCAGTACAAACATGGACATGAACGACTGCCACTTCATGTTGTTCGACCTATCATCCTTCTTTGCCTTTGCTGGTGCTACCTTGAGTGCAGCGGCAGCAGCAGCAGCAGCAACAGGAGTTGGCTCAACGAGCACTACTGGCACATAGAGGGAATCAGATGCGAACACCTCTGAATCAGGTGCCATCTTGGACATAGGCTACGAGTCCTCGACAAATGATGGATCAAACTAGTTGTCGGACAGGACAAGGGCCTGACTAAGATCTTGGGTCTGCGTGGTCATGTCCTACAATTGTAGAACGCATTGACAATAAGCATAGCACACAACATACCGGACTATCCATGAAAGCAGGAGCATACATGTACATGGTTCATGTAGGATCTTGAAGTATGTCTAGAGGGGGGGGGTGATTAGACTACTTGACCAAATAAAAACTTAACCTTTGCCCAATTTTAGTCTTTGGCAGATTTTAGCAAATTTAGCACAAGTCAAGCAATCTTAACACAATTCAAGCAAGCATGCAAAGAGTATATGAGCAACGGAAAATAAAGCATGCAACTTGCAAGAATGTAAAGGGAAGGGTTTGGAGAATTCAAACGCAATTTGGAGACATGGTGATTTCTGAGCTGTGGTTCCGATAGGTGGTGCTATCGTACATCCATGTTGATGGAGACTTCAACCCACGAAGGGTAACGGATGTGCGAGTCCACGGAGGGCTCCACCCAAGAAGGGTCCACGAAGAAGCAACCTTGTCTATCCCACCATGGTCGTCGCCCACGAAGGACTTGCCTCACTAGCGGTAGATCTTCACGAAGTAGGCGATCTCCTTGCCCTTACAAACTCCTTGGTTCAACTCCACAATCTTGTTGGAGGCTCGCAAGTGACACCTAGCCAATCTAGGAGACACCACTCTCCAAGAAGTAACAAATGGTGTGTTGATGATGAACTCCTTGCTCTTGTGCTTCAAATGATAGTCTCCCCAACACTCAACTCTGTCACATAGGATTTGTATTTGGTGGAAAGAAGATTTGAGTGGAAAGCAACTTGGGTAAGGCTAGAGATCAAGATTCATATGGTAGGAATGGAATATCTTGGTCTCAACACATGAGTAGGTGGTTCTCTCTCAGAAATGGTAAGTTGGAAGTGTAGGTTTGTTCTGATGGCTCTCTCCACGAATGAAGAGGAGGTGGAGGGGTATATATAGCCTCCACAAAAATCTAATCATTACACACAATTTACCAATCTCGGTGGGACCGAATTAAGAAATTCGGTCTGACTGATTCAGTAAACCTAGTGACCGTTAGGGTTTTCTGTGGGACCGACATGCAACTCGGTAGGACCGATATGGTTAGGGTTAGGGCATAACGTAATCTCGGTGAGACCGATTACACAAACTCGGTGAGACCGATTTTGGTAATAAGCTAACCACAGAGTTGGTCAGATAAACTCGGTGGGACCAAAATGTTACGAAAGGGAAACAGAGAGTTTACATTGCAATCTCGGTGGGAACGATCGCTCATCTCGGTGGTACCAAAACGTTACGAAGGGAAACAGAGAGATTACAATTCCATCTCGATGAGATCCCTATCGGTAAGACCGATTTGCCTAGGGTTTGTGGCAGTGGCTATGACATCTGAACTCGGTGGTGCCGGATAAAAAGAATCGGTGGGGCCGAGTTGGACTTTAGGTTTAGGTCATATGTGGATGTGGGAAAGCAATTGAGGGTTTTGGAGCATATCACTAAGCACTATGAAGCAAGAACCCCATTAAGCAACACCTCATCCCTCCTTGATAGTATTGGCTTTTCCTATAGACTCAATGTGATCTTGGATCACTAAAATATAAAATGTAGAGTCTTGAGCTTGAGGCTTGAGCCAATCCTTTTATCCTAAGCATTTTGAGGGGTCCACTTTTCTCATCCATGCCATGCCATTCATTGAGCTTTCCTGAAATATTTATCTTGGAATAGTATTAGCTCAGTGAGCTATATGTTGTTAGGAATTACCAAAACCACCTAGGGATAGTTGCACTTTCAACCTCCCCCTTTTTGGTAATTGATGACAACATATAGATCAAAGCTTCGACAAATGATAATAAGATTGAAAAACATTGTCGCTTTGAGAAGTATGTGAAATGTGAGAGCTCCCCCTAAGTTTGTGCATAGTTTAAGATTTGCTTTGGACTGCAAATGCACATAGAGTTAGGTTCATGAGTTACTCTCCCATGTCACATACATCTTGGTGGAGCGCTCAAAATGATAATAATCAAAATACATGCACTCGTCACCAAGCAAAGTGAATGATCATATAGAGATAAAAGGATAATGTCATCCAACAAGCATTAATGTAGCGTATGATCAAACACATGATCATCATAGTATCACACAGACAATAAAGTATCTCAAACAAGCGAAAACAAACAAAGTTCAACCACAAAAAAACAAGAGAGAACAAAAGCAAACTCTCTCTCTCGAAGCCTATGATCTTATACATTTTCTCCCCCTTTGGCAAA